TTTGGTTTTATGTTTTCAGAAATAAGACAGAGTCAACATGAAGGCAAAAAACTCAAAAAATGTTGAAAAAAAAGGTGCAACGTGCAGTGAACACAGTCTTCTGAACTGTCTCGTACTTAGAACATGGAGTCCCAAAGCATATTTCTGGAACATCTGAATTATAAAATATACTTACTGAATCAGCTCCCTAGGGAACAAAGAAGAACCTTATCAAAAGTCATTACATCTTATTTCACAATGGTAAAGCAATAAAAAACAGGAACAACAATGTATCTTGCAGTATGGGAAAAAAGTATGCGACTGTCTTAGTCTTTTAATTCAACAGTCAAAATTGATTTTGCTAAGAAGGAACTCTACCACAGCTTTGATAAATATCTTCTTGTGAAAGGCAGCAGGATTCACAGAAAGTCACAGCACTCTGGAATCAAGTAAGGGCAAAACAGGATAGTCATATATTATACCTGCCATTGGTGTTCTTCAAAGGAGACCTTGCAAGAGCAGACCAATGGGACAATGCTGTGACCTTTTGGTCAGCCAGGATTAAGAGTCCTGACTGAAGCAAAAAACCATCAGTCAGCCATCTTCTATGGTGATGTGTCAGTTCTAGTAGTTTTGGGGGAGGAAATAAAGATGCAAGTAGGAGTATATTCAAGTGTCATGCAAATTCAAGCCATCTGTCCCAGACATGGTCCAAGAAGTGTTTAGTTTTGTTGGTGGAGGGAGGAAACGAGAGAAACTGTTAAGTAAAAAAAAAAAGAGAGAGAGAGAGAGAAACTCATTTATGTGATAATCTATTACAAGCAGTATTAATTAACAATAGACATTGTTAGGAAGTACTGTTAAATAGTAAGAATATAATAGCAAAAGTCCTGACCACTTGCAGCTGTCACTGAATTTTTCTGGAAAAAAAAATCAAGCCTTGAGGCCAGTTGTCCAAATAAATTATACCCAGCATGAGAGGAAGTGACCTTACACACTTCATCTTGAAGTTGGCAGCTTTGCTTGCTCAGCATGTCTGGAAATCAGAGGGACACCACTGGAAATTGATTGTAAATGTTTGACTGCTATGGATATCCTAGAGGAAAACAGAAATCTAATGACATTTTACAAAGTAAAATAGAGAAGGCTCTTGAGCAAGTAACCAGTTGCTTTGCATGTTATGCAGGATACTAAAGGCCTCACTGTTCACTGGGGCAAACTCTCTCACAGTAAGACTATATCTATCCTGCTATCTTAGTGTCCTTGAGCATTGGCTATCTACCATCTACACTATTATCCCCTGAAGTCAGGCCACAGCACAGCTTTAGGGCTTGTCTTGGGGCTCCCACTGAGGTCAAACCACACCCTAGCTGGAGGTTGTAAATACAACACCAGACGGCAAGTGGCCAGGCAGCCACCTGGCCCACCAAGCGTGGTAGGGTCCTAATCACTGTGTGCAAGGAGTATTCCCAAGAACACAATTTTAGACAAAGCTCCCAATACATCCACAGACAAACTTCACAGAGCCTTAAAGTGATGGAAGCAGTCCTGGAAGCAGTTTCACCAACTTGTCAAATAAAATAAGCATACATGGAAGCCCAAGACAAAAATCCCAGGTCCAGGGCTACTCACCAGATATCCCCCTTTAGAAGGACTGCAAGGAGATGCTAGTAGATACCATGAGCCCTGAACCTCTCACAGTTCAAGATTTGACCTTTTAGCCTTCTGCCTTGCTTGAAAGTGTAGGGAATCAGAGAAGGGAAATGAGGTCAAAGAAGAGCCTTGTGGCACCATCTTGGAAAGTGCAGGGTCCCCACAGCAGCAATTCTTATACAATGAGGAGAAAAAGGGGGATTCCAAAGAAGATGTCTAGTATATATGGATATAAGTGTGCAATTTGCCACTGCTGGGTTGGATTGTTTCAGGAACAGAATCAAGTAATAAAGTTGACAGGTTTGTCCTGCTGTTCTCCAACATCTACCACCTTGGATTCCTCCCTCCCACCTTCCATAAAAACAGATGTTAGAACACAGATAGGCCCCTTTTGTTGGAACTACCTGTAGCCTGTTGCAGTCAGCGAACTTTTGATGCTAGTGGTGATACCACACGTGCCAGGAAAATTCATGAGTTTGCAGCGCACTAACATGAACCCCACCTCAGGATACCATCCTGTCCCAGCTACTCCTCCTTCTCCTTAAGAGCAGAAAACATGATGATGACTATGTTAGGTTGGCCTCAATTTTTTTTAAAGCTAATCTCCATTGTCACTTGACTCTATGCGACACTGGTTAGGCTGCAGTTGGAGTACTGCGTCCAGTTCTGGGTGCCGCACTTCAGGAGGGATGTGGACAACATGGAGAGGGTCCAGAGGAGGGCCACTCGCATGATCGGGGGCAGCAGGGAAGACCCTATGAGGAGAGGCTATGGGACCTGAACCTGTTCAGCCTTCACAAGAGAAGGCTGAAGGGGGATCTAGTGGCCATTTACAAACTAGTCAGGGGGGACCAGCAGGCACTGGGGGGGAGTCCCTGTCCCCCCCCCCCGAGCGCTACCAGGAGTTACTAGAAATAACAGTCACAAGTTGGCAGAGGGCAGATTCAGGCTAA